AAACAAAGTGAACAAAACTACTAAATTGTATTCTAATGGAGTAGACAATAAGCCAATATATTCAGATGCTAACATGTGCTGTAGAGAAATAACTGGGTGGAAGCCAGAGTGTGATTGAAGGAGGAGGCAGGGTTACTATTTTAAATGAACTGGTCAAAGCAGACCTGTCTCATAAATAAAAAAAAAAAATCTATTTCAGCTGCAACCTGAAGGAGATGAGAGGGAGAAAACCATGCAAATGTGTGAAAAAAAAAATAGTTCAGGCAGAGACACCATAAATGATAAGAAATAGGAATGGAATCAACCAGTATGTTTGAGGGACAGCAAGGTAGCCATCATTGTAGGGGCTGAGAGAGCAAAGGAGAGGGGTATTCATAAATCTATGCTTACTGACATGTGGACAGTTGAGCCTTACCATCATTCCTTCTCTGTCACAATGGTCTGTATCCCTTGGAACTGCCTGACCAATGAACTTGAAAAGATAGACAAAAACAAAACAAACAAAAAAGTTCTTAACACTGAAAATATGTTGTCTTACAAAGAAAATTGAGGTTGCTCATAGAATTGGAAGGTGATGAACCTTTAAAAAGCAGGAAAATGAAAGGATGTTAGGCTTTCACACAGGCATTTTGCCATGCTGAGAGCTTGAGTTTATCCCAATGAGTTCCATGATGGACCTTCTTATCTCTAAAACTATGCTGGATGAGAAAACCTATCGCTTAAAGCCAACTGTACCAGTCAGTCCTGAGCTGGGTTATTCTGACGATAAAGACCCCTCAATTATCAATGGCGCAACAAGCAAAAGCTCTTCTCCTTCTTGGCTTCGTTAGTTGTCAAGGGTCTGTTCTTTCAATGATGTGAGCTGCAGGAGGCTCATCTCTACCCAGCTTCTGCAGAGCTGGAGTGCTTCTAGTCTCCTCCCTCACCAGGATCCAGAGTGACTCTTGACCTGGAAGCTGTACACATTGCACTGTACTTATAAATGGCACTTTAAGAGTTTTGTCAATTTGATTTACTAAATTAGAGGTGTGTTACTCTCACTCAGTTTTTAAACTATTTAACATCATGACCTAATTTTCTTTTATATGTCTTTACTAAGTAAAAGTCTAGCTCTAAATTAGCCATTTCTCTTATCCACCTTCCCCACAAATGCAAGCATTTCAGTTCATTCACTTTAATGCTTTGTCATTTTTCTGTGATGCTATATATAAGGTAATTTTGTGTGAAAACACAGTCTGGATTTCAATCTTAGTATGCCTTAGGTGTGTGATAGTGGAGATTAGTATCTCAATGCTGCAACAGCAGAGATAGTAGCTTTTATAAAAAGTAAATTAGATGAAATATATAAAGTTATTAGCTATTGATAATAGCATGAGGATGGGAGCCTGGGTTCATAAGGGCTTCAACAAGTTCCCTTATTCCCAGTCAATATGCAATGGTCACGTAATATGGTCATAAAAGTGACTTCTGTTGCTTAAAGTCACTGAGATTTTTTTAAAAAGTACTGTTATTCTTTGAGAATTTCATATAATGTGTTTGAACATATCCACTCCTCTCCCCCCTATTCCTTCTGTATCTATCCCACTTCCCTAACTACCCAACATCCCCCCCCTTTTTTTTGTTAATCCATCAAGTCCTATTTCTCCTACCCATCTACACTTAATGGGCAGGACCATCTGCCAGAGTGTGGTTAGTTAACTGCTGTGGCACAAGTAGATCTGGACTAAAATAGAAATTAATAAAGGAAACCAGGATTACTTTTCATGGCTTTCTCTATATACACAGACACTATATATCATCATTTTATTTTACAATTGTATTTTATGTCTTTGCCTGCATGTGTGTCTATATACCACATGCATGCCTCGTACCCTCAAAGGCTAGAAGAGGGCATAAGATCTCCCAGAACTGGAGTTACAGGCAATTGTGACCCACGTGGGTGCTGGGAATCAAACCCAGGTCCTATGAAGAACAGTCAGTGCTGTTAATCACCGAGCCACCTTTTCAGCCCCACATCCATGTCCTTTATAAAGAGATTTTATAATGTGTGTATGTATATGCCTGCATGAGTTTATGTGCACCACTGATATGCCAGGTGCTCAAAGGTCAGAGGGCATCAAACTCCCTGGAATTGGAGTTACAGGTTGTTGTGAGCTATCTGATATTTTGCGGGGAACTGAAACCAGGTCCTCTGCTAGAACAATAAACATCTTAACCACTGAACTATTTCTTCAGCTCTCACTACCTTTTTTTCTCATTCAGCTTTTACCAATAACCCACCTCCTCTATTATGCCATCAGTTATGTAATATCACAGGTAATAACTCTGTATTCTATCTTCACCATAGTTAGGTCTTCTGTGATTTGACTATTAGTTGTAAAATTAGAAAATCAACAAACACTACATTTTTATGTATTTTTTTTACTTTGACCTGAGTTGTGTGTTATAATCATTACAGATATAAATAGATCCAGTGTACTAAGTACAGTACTTTAAGGGGGATATTTCTATTGATGGGAAGGTATAGGTCTACAGATTAAATGTCTTAAATATACTACTTAATAGGAATATTTCTATTGATGGAAAGAGACACGAAGGCACATTGCAAACAGATCATGTGAATACAGAGAGAAATGGAAATATGGGGATAAATTGCAATTGATCGAAGCATTATTTGCTTCTTTAAAAGCTGATAAAATGATGTATATGTATTCCATTTTCTCTCTAGTTAATGAGGATTCCATCTATTTGTTTCATTTTTTCTTTTACTCCCATCTCCTAGCTTTTGATATATCATAGTCATAATTAGAAAATAAAGTTTGTTGATTATGTTTTATAAAGGAAAAACATACTCATCTTCTAAAAGATTTTATAGCTGGCTTCATGTGTAACTTGTTCCTGGTAAAGCTTGCTGTTTCATTTGATCTCAGAGAATCCACAGGTACTCCAGCAGAACGGAGCACCTAGTAATGAACGCAGCAGGTAGCAGACAGCACAGATGACTGAGTGTGATGTTTCAGCTGTGGCTGATGCAGAGCTTGCCATTGAAAAGCAGGAGGATCAGCTAGCTCTGCTGACCTTTACACACCAGGTAGGTATTAACTTCAATGTCAATAGAGTACCATGGTGGTTTTGACCCAACAGAGACACAGTCCATAAACAGTAAGAGGGCTTTAGTTAATATTTTTTACTTATCAACCAACACAAGCACAAACTGAAATCTGATCTACACTCTTTGGGAAAAATTTGTGATTTATTCTTGTAACTTGGCTTGTTCCCATCTGATTCTGAAGAGTAAAGTTTAGCTTTTTTGGCTAGCAATTATATTGTTACTCAAGTGGGAATTGCCTAACTAAAAGGAGGAAGTGATACATAGCAATCAAGTGATCTAACAGAATGGAAAGAAACTGATTATTTAATATTCTAATGTGACTGTAGGATTTGTGGAGATGTTTTGAACTTGATGTTTTAATATAAATCAGGTTTACTAACTCTGTGCAATCTTCTCTGAAGGATCAAGTTTCAGAATATAATGTTTGAGGCTTTTTCCAAAAATTAGACCAGCACAAATGTTTGTTGTTAGTTCTCAGTGTAAAATCCCCCAAATGAACTCACAGTGGCTTCATGTTATTCACTGCATTTCCTAGGACTTCCCTTCAGCCACAGAATAGTCACTTGGGGACTGAGTTCTCTTTTTTGTACAATTTGAAATCTTATGTTTTCTTTGTTTTGCTTTGCTTTGCTTTGTTTCTTTCTGTTTTGGATTTTCAAGACAGGGTTTCTCTGTATTGCTTTGGAGCCAGGGAACTCACTCTGTAGACCAATCTGGCCTGGAACTCACATGATCTGCCTGCCTCTGCCTGCCTCCTGATGCTGGGATTAAGGTGTGCCCTATATTTTCTTTGTTACTGATGATCTATTTTCAGTAATTCTGAGCTGGGCCATTCAGTGTGTGTAGACTATCAAGTCCTCGCTCAACAACACAGCACACAACACAGCAATCTCAAGTCATGCTTAACTGCTTGATCATTTTTCCACAAACTGGTCAGATTGGCCAGCCACTGTCAGCATTTTTTTTGTTCTGTAGAACAACACTTAAAGTCGAGAAATCCTGTAATTTTCTAATTTCATTTCTTTTCATGAAAATGTAACACACACACACACACACACACACACACACACACACACACATATATATATATATAAACTTTTCTTTCTTCAAGAAAAGTAACTCTTGCTTGCAGGGGAGGGGTTAAAATGGGATCTGGATATATAGACCAAACTGGCCTTGAGTTCATAACACTGACTCAGTCTTCTGAATGTTGGAATTACATGTGTGCATCAGAATACCCAGCTTTTCACTTCTTTTTAAAAATATATTTTTATATATATTTACATAAAATTACATCATGTCTGTGCTCACTTTTCTCCCTCAAGCTTCCTTTTTCATTTTAATTTAAAAGTGAAAATCCACATGGATTTAATTATTTTCATTGACATGCCAAGATACTTGCTCTTCACTGCCACCATGACCCAACCATTCTCAGCATGTATTTTGGTTCCAGGAACCTTGTTTAATTTGCTGGTGGAAGGAAAATGAACCCTATTGCTACAAAATGTGGCTATATCGCTGATATACTTATCCATCAATTGTAGGATCCTTGCTTATTAATTATATTTCCTTGGATGGTTTTCTTATCAACAAGATTAAGATCAAAATGTCTACATTGTGATGTTGCTGAGGGGGTACCTGAGATATATGGAAAATGCTTGGCATAGTAGTAGGTACTCAACAAATGTTAGATATTTGTATTAGTACCATCTGCCTTAGGTGATGTACTTTCTACTCAGGATAACATCACCAAACACATTCACAGTTCCAGTGAGGGCTGTAACTGATGGACTCATCAGAACAACTACACTTGCAAAGAGATGGGATGTCTGCTAGCTGATTCAATCTTTAATAACAAGTTCAATAACACAGACACAGGGGAAGTTACTGATTTCAACATCTAAGCAAGCTTTAATAGCTATTTCTAAAATCATGCCCAGATCATCTTCTCATTCAAACCATTAACATCCAATGGCTGCATGTATTCAAATCCCATAAACACAATATTGCAAAAGCAAGAAAAACTAAGAAAAGCATGTGTAGCATTATTTTCTCATTTGATTATTTGTTGCTAAATATATATCTCAATACCTGCTATTAAATTCTAAGAAGTAAATGCTGAAAGCTATGCTGGCAGCTGGGAGCCAGGGGCTGGGGGCTTGGGAGGAAAAAGAAGGAAGTTCTCAAACAAGAAACACGTTCCACATCTCTATTTTGGGAACTATGTTGGTAACTATAGAAAACTGGAGAAACATTCTTGGAGCAACAAACAGACAGAGACTATTTAATTCCACTTTGTTAGATACATATGTTCAATTTCCATGTAACTGAGGTCTCCCTCTAGCTCAAAATTTGCTACAAATAACTAAAACTATTGCATACACTATCTTACTGGTGTTAATTACACAAAACAAATGCATGTTGAATGAGTGGACTCATGTCTGGGGTGCAACATGAAGCGGCTGGACCTTTCTCCAGGGGAACATTTCTTATGGTGTCATGTGCACATCTAGGAAAGCCTTATTTGCCAGAACCAACCTTCAGTGCTCTAAGGATGGTGGCAGAACAAGGGTATAGAAGAAACATAAGTGGCATCTGAATTCTCGCTTCATTTAGTCGCTTCAAAATGTCCACATAACATCATGATTTATGAGCATAATTGAAAAGATTCAACACCATCTGAAGTCAGAAGATGAGTCTGCATGCCTCCTTCAATCACATGCAATACATACAAAACAGAAATGGAGGCTGAAACATGAGCACTGTGAGACCCCCTGCCTGCTGCCATTTCCCTTTTGAATGCTATACTTTATTTTCTCTCCATTGTCCCCACATTTCCTTTCTCTGCAACAAGGCATCTGTCCTTCCCTCTACTCTTTCTTCCTCATTTCCAAAGCCGAATAGTTAAAAACCTTTGCATCCCTGGTGGAAGGGGCAATCATAGTTGTTTTTAGTTCCCAGAAACGGAAGTAGACGTTTTAATGAACTGTGACTACTATAGCAGTGATTTAGACTCTGTCTTGCACTTCTAACTACCCATAAAATATTGGGTGTGATTTCACTATTTGGGGATTACAGTTTTGAGGACTTTTTATTTCAGGAAGATGGCAATGTTGGTAGTGGTGGTGATGAAAATGATGTAGTAAAAACAAGTTATCTGTACACGTAGATCTATTTGTGTGGGTATCTAAGCAAAAAAAAAAAAAAAAACAATAAATGGATTCTGAGTAGGATATGTATTATCATATACATTTGCTAGAATTCAGTTCAAAATTCACAAGGGTGGACTTGAGCAGACCATTTCTGGCAGTAAACAGTGTGTTTTTCTTTCCCATCTTATGGACTTATAGCCAGCATCATCATAGCAGCTTAGGTCTCTGAATTCATCCCTCTTGCCTGAAAATAACAATGGATTGAATACACTAGGCCAGTCTATCCTACTGGTCCATATCCTGCTCTCTACCTGCCAGGGGAATCAGGATCCTCTGGTCTGTAAAAGTAACAGAAGGGTAATTTTAATCTCACTCTGAAGTCATATAGCTCTAAATGTTCATTCCTTCAATAAACTGACCTTGAACACCCACTCTACCAAGCACCATGCTAAATGTAGAGTGCTACCTTAACTCCAGTCTACTGTTCCTTTGTAGGAATAATCTCTAACCCAGTTAGGCTGTTGTGCTGGTAAACTGGAATATACTTCCATGTCAATACTGTTGCCATCATTATCTCCTCAAAAAAAACCCTCTCCTTTTGCATAATGCTAATGTTAAAGATGAAACAAAAATGAAGAATGATGAGCTACTTTTTGATTAACTCTCCTGTTTGGGGAAAGTATAAAATCGGATTCTTGAGATGACCTGGCATTAGTGACATAGATCTCGTTTCAGCTTCTGAATCTGAGGGAAAGTGATGAAATTACTTGAGCTCTTACTGTTTATCCTAAAATGAGTCCAAGACAATGCTTGCCTTCCCCTCTTGTGGCATGCGTAGGGAAATATGAACTAAAGTATCATGACAATGTTTGTAAGAGTGCTGTGAAAGCCATGAAACTCCATGCAAATGTAACCTATCACTAACAAACATTCTTTGGAATTCTTTTGAGGGGGGGGCCTATGTCATTATAGTTTCCTTCCTCCTTCTTTCTTCAGAGCATGGAACTCATACAGTCAACCAGCAATATTGGGGCATTTGGCAGCATACACTTATTTCTTCATGAGAGAGCTGAATTAGAAGTTTTCCTTGTTGAAAATGAAATGTACTCCACGAGGGCCAGACTCAGAGTTGGAGATGCTCTGTTTGCTGAGGGTTTCAGCCAAAGCTTCAGGGCCACAGAGAAAAACTCCTATTCTGGTGCTTTTGAGAAAGAAAAGAAAGTTTCAGGCTTTGGCATTAGCTAGACAACAAAGTAGGTGGGTAAATTTTCTATTAAGTAGAGCCCCTTCTAGTCCTATTTTTGACAACCAACAAAATATGTTCATATTACTCACAAGGATTGGGCTTACCTCTGATTGTAGGGATAGCTGAAAAACTCAAAAATGGTTTAAAGCCCCAGAAAATGAAATCCAAGCACAGTTTTTGGAAATTTCTACCACAAGGATATCATGGCTAATATGTGAAGCTACAGTGTACTTTCCTTTAGGACTCTAGCCCACCCAATCTTTCTAGTATTTTAAAATTAATAACAAACCCTCATTGGATACCCCAACTCTAGCAGCTTCATCCTTTGAAGTCTTACAGTTTAAATCCTTGCTTTGTAAAATGTGGCCCCGTGCCATTTACAAAATCATCATGTTTTTAATAATCCAGGTACCTGGGCCCCACCACACATAATAAATCAGAGTATGTACATAAAAACATAGCCAGGTAAGTATGTGTCCATCAAAGTGTAGAAGGCATAGTTCAAATAAAGCAGATGTATCTAACATGGGGCTAATGAACCACATGAATCTCAGAATAGCTATGCATGCAGCCCAACACATTTGTAAATTACATTATGTTGCAACAGCAAGTCAAAGTGTGTGCCACATCTATTCAAAAAGAGATATTTAAGGGAAGCTCGTGTTTTCTGTGTGTTCTGGGAGACAGGGGAATTTCCTCAAGGTTTCATGATGGATAAAAGTGTAGTAACAACCCAAAGAAATGTGTGTCATCTCTCAATTTAGGATTTGACTCAGACTCTAGAACTGAAAGTGAAGGCATAAAATTCTTAATAATAAGCATAAGCTGTAATCACTACTTAAACATATACACTAGTGAAATTTGGGCAACTAAAATAAAGAAATGCTATGGAGCAGCTTGGATTAGGGTGTTGAGAAAATTACTCTGCATATAATTTTGCTAAGATTTAAAGATTCTTCCTTAAAGTGGGTAATACGAGGCATCTGTTGGAGCAGAACTCCATATTATGGAAATGTTAATGCTAACTTTTAGACTATAAAGTACAAGTCACTGCTCAGGGGCTGCTGCTTTAGACAGACCACAACTTCGAGAACACTTTAGTGGAGGACTCCTTACTTAGGGTGTTGACTTGCAATTGCCTTGAACTCATTATCCCAGTTGGGCCTTCCATACAGAGTCTTTTGTTTTAAGCCAGTGATCACATCTTTCTCCTCATCATGGTGTACAGCAAAATGATTGGCCTGTAACAAAAGTTATACATTCAGAAAAAAAAGAAGCATGGTATAACACATATTTCACAAATCAAATCGAACTCTTACTACTCATACACACACACACACAGGTTATGATGCTGAGGGGTGCTATTCAGGAAGAAAGGGAATGAAAGGATCCCCTATACCCATCTGCTATCCAGATACTATGCTAGACATATAGATAGCAATAAGTCAGGTGAGTTCTTTATGAGACAATGGAATAGTCAATGGTCAATAACTCCCTTTACAGAAGGGGCCCTTGTAAAAAGCTTTGTAGAAGTTCAGGTGTAAGGGAGACATCACTTGAAGCAAGATTCCCCCTGCATTAAAGAGAAAAATCCTCTTTTACAATCCAAGTAAGGCCAACCTAAACTGGCGGTATAAGAGAAAAGGAAATAGAACACAAAGATGAGAATGACTGTCCCTCCCCAAATGAAATGTGGCCCTCATACATTACAAAAGCCCTGTCCCTAGGGGCAGGCGACTACAGACCTTCACTGCTGGCCTTGTTAGTGTAGGCAGGGAGGAGAAAATTTAAAAGGAGATGAATTTCAAATGGTATTGACAGGAAATCTCCCAGCTGCTTGTAATTCATTTTCAAGTGCTAGCCTTCCATTGTTGGATCAAAAAGAAATCAGCCCGGGCCTTTCCGTAAGTGATCTACACCTGCAGCTGCTTGTGACTCATGGTGGAGTTCAAGATGAACCAACAGCTGGGTATTTGAATGGCTATGGAACCCAGGGAAACTGTTCCAAGTTATCAAAGTTAAAAGGTGAACTGATGACAGTAAATACAGTTAGCTGTTATTCCTTCCTTTCTTAGGCACATCCTGACCTCAAGGTCACATGGAACAAGGTTTAGCTGGCTGCAAGGCTAAACCAAATAATACTAAAGTTAACTATTTCCTCCTTGGTTGACTAAAAAGTTCTGCTTTTGCCTTCAAGGACACTATTGCCCTCGAAGAAAAGCAAATTCATACTACTGGGAACCTGTCCTAGTTTCCTTTCTTGTCACTGTCACAAAGTAGGATAAAATCTACTTAGGCAGGAAAAAGTTTATTTGGCTCACAATTCCAGATAACAGACCATCATTGTGGAGAAGGCAAAGTGGAAGGAACTAGAAACAACTAGTCATATCCATAGTCAAGAGCAGAAAGAAATAAGTGCACCCATGGTGCTTGCTTTCTGCTTCCTGTATAGTTCTCCAAGTATTTTTCATCACATATATTGATTTGCATTATATAATATATTAAGAGTTTTCTTATATGTACATGTTGATTTATTTATTATTAATAACCACAAGTGGCAGGGAATTGCTGAATGCAGGCTGCCATTTACTTGCCAGATGCCTTTATGCAAATAACCTACTCTATTCTAGGTTTTTTACTCTAATTAGGTAATAAATTTGACAAATAAAATTAGACTAAAAACAATGCCTGGGGACTGGAAGGTTGTGTTCACACCTTTAGTCCCTGCACTCATGAGGCAGAGGCAGGCAGATCTCTGTGAGTTCGAGACCAACGTGGTCTACAGAGCTAGTTCCAGGAACCAGGATTGTTACACAGAAAAGCCTTGTCTCAAAAAACAAAACAAACTAAAACAAAAGGCAAAACAAACAAACAAAAAATGCAAACAAGCAAAACAACAACAACAATAACAAAATGCCTGGACCAGAATTCAGATTCTGCAAAGGATTAGTTGTAGGACCCAAAATCCATAAATGCTCAAGTCTCTTACATACTTTAAATCATATCTAGATTACTTGTGACTCATAAGTCAATGTAAATCCTATAACTAGTTGTAATACTGTATTGTTTAGGGGGGAAATACAAGAAAAAGACTGTATATGTTCAGTATGGTATGGTTACTTTTCTCCCAAATATTTTGATTAGGTTGATAGAATATACAGAGCAGAACTTCAAGTATATGGAGAGCTGACTGCATATAAATGTATTCACTATATCATAATACATGTATAACATATAAATTAATGTACAAGAGAGAGGAATAAACTTTTCTCCTCATCACCATTTAGTGAGTTTTGTCCATCTGTTTTGAGATTCCTGCTCCTTGGTGGGAACAGTGTTCTAATATCAATACAAGCCCCTTAATTTAGAATTGAGTCAATGATCTGATGGTGATACTGAGTGAGTGTGAGCAAGCTAGGTCACTTGAATCCATTAGCTGCCTTTCTGGGTGGTGGTGGGGGGGGAATGCAGTGCATAAAACATACCGATATGTAAAAGGAAGGCAGCCCCCTCTGGACATGCTAAGAAGGTCCTAAGAACTGGATTCTTGCCCTCACCTGAGACTCATCCCAGCCGGTAAGGTAGATGTTGTAGCTGAGGAAGTCGGCATTGTTCCTTTCCTGCATCTGGGTCTCCAGCAGCTGCAGCAGATCTGCAAACCACTCGAAGGCATGTGTGTCTCTGCACAGCCAATAGAAATAGATCTGAAGAAGAAGGGGCCACAAATCAGATTATATAAGGGGTAGTCTTTTTCAGCTTCAAAGGATAGGTTTCTAATGTTCTAAACATTTTCATGACGCCCAGAAGGTCTAGAAACAGGTTCAGATGATATATGTCATTGTTTCAAGACATGGTCTTTAAGATAGCCTAGGTTGATTCCAAACTTGGTATTCTCCTATTTCTGCCTCTCAAGTGCTGGGATTGCAGGTGTGCATTATCACACTCTGGATGCTGTAAAGGCTCATTTACATACATTTACATAAACCTCTGACCTTCAGGAAAGCAGATCAGCAAATAAAACATTTGGGGGAGCTGTTGGAGAGGTAGGTGGTCCAGTGCGTCGGAGTGCTCTCTGTTCTTCCAGGGGATGAAAGTTCTGTTCCCAGCACCCATGTCAAGTGGCTCACAATGGCCTGTTACTCCTGCTCAAGGGCATCTGCACTTTTTTAGCCTCTAGCCGCACCTCCACATATCTGGCACAAATGCGCACATGCATGTACGCACACATAGACAAGCACACACACATTAATAAAAACAAATACCTAAAAGTAAGTCAATAAATTGATGGTTTAGCTAGTACATAGCTAACCCCCATCTTGTGGCTCTCTAGTCCCTCTTCTAGCTGCTGTTTCTCTCCCAGAATCCCTGGCTTCCTACATATCTGCTCTGAGGATGGCCAAAGGAATCAACACAGTGGCTACTATAGGAAGTCTTCCCTCCTGGGACTGCCAGACCCTCCTAAGATCCTAGGGGGAAATTAGTTTTGCTCATACCTTTGTTACATTAAAAAAAAAAAAAGTAAAATGGAAGAATGAAATGTGAACAAAGTTCAGTGTCCCTATCAGAAACTATCTTATCAGTTACTAGAATAATTTCAGGTTTACCATGACAAGGCACATCAAGTAATTGATGTGTAACAATCCCCTGGGAATTCATCCCCAAAAGACATCCATAGATAAGTAAAATGTTTCATGGTGCCCACCCTATCCTGCTAAAAAGCAGTATTGAAGAGATGAACATAGAGTCAATGTCATGATATAAACTATTATCATTATATAATGTGGGATGCTAGAAAAGACGTTTTCTCAAATTGCTCAATTTGGAATATTGCTACACAAACACAGCATATTACTTTTGCTGACTGGTCTGTTTGTAGACAAGCACATTAACCGACATAGAGGAGAAGCCTGCCTGTCTGGCCTCTCTGCAATCATTCATATCTTTCTCTCACTTGCCCTGATCTCCGAAAGCCTTGCTTTTCAGCATGGGATCGAATCCAGGCCCTCCAGAAAATAAGAGGAACTTACTTTTTTGAGCCTCAGATTTGTGGCATTATTGCAATATTTGTACCAGACAGACTTGAGAATGGAGGCGAAAGGCGTGACTCCGATCCCTGCTCCCACTAGCATCACCACTTCATAGCTGAACACATCTTCACTGGCTGTGCCAAAGGGCCCATCAACTGCTATCCTGAATGTAAATGGAAAAGGATAGACAGTTTCAGGCGTTTCTTCATCTGCACAGGAAATAGAATACACTTTATTGTTGGAGATGTGCCCTATGCTGAGTCTGCTGAGGTAGTGTATGTATAGGGGATCTTCATAAAATAACTTTCATGTAATTCAATGCCACCATGGGCATTGAAAATAAGAATATGAATGATTATTTAACAGAAAACCTTTGCTAGCTTGCCATGAGCATTTTTGCATTTTTTTCATTTTCTCGCTCTTCTTTCCATCTCCACACAACACACACACACACACACACACACACACACACACACACACACACACACACCTCTTTAGATTTGTTTTATCGTTTGTGTATGGATGTCTTGCTTGCATGTGTGTCTGTGTACCAGGTACATACCTGGTGCTCACAGAGGCTAGAAAAGGCTGGTGGACCCCCGGAACTGGAGTTAAATAGTGTAAGTGCTTAGACTCAAATCCAGGTCTTCTGGAAGAATAGCCAGTGTTCTTAATGACTAAGCTGTCTCTACAGCTCACATTTGTCTCTTATTATAGAAAAGTATATCTGATTTTTGTTATTATCACTGTTGTTGATATTGTGTGTGCGCACATGAGGTCAGAGGACAACTTTCAGGAGTTTTTCTTCTTCAACCAGGGGGACAGGGATTGGACTCAGGACCTCTGATCTTCACAGGAAGCTATTTTATGGGAAGCTCACTGATTTTTTTTCAATGTTGTCAGGCAGAACCTTAAACTCCTAATCCTTTTGCTTCCACATCTGAAGTACTGGGATTATAGGCATGGGCCCCATGCCTGACCGGGCAATCCAAATTTAAAATTCCTAATTGCATTACACATTTAAGTAAGACCTTTTTAAACATAATGACAATGTTGATTTGATAGCACCACTTTCCACTTGTTTATTCCACTAAACAACTACAATCCCCCCTCCCTTTTTAGCATCTACTGAGTCCCAGTACCATGTTATACAAGTGGAGAGAAGGATGCAAAGCAAATAATACTTTCAAACAAATGATGTCATTTAAAATTGTAGAGTATCTCTGAATATGCTTTTTGCTTTTCAGAAAAAAATTAATATAACTTGGCCTTAACCTTCACATATTTAAAGAAAGTTGAGAAACACTGATCTCAATGCTTTATAATTTACCTAAACTTGGTAGTTTACCTAAACATATGCACAAATATACTATATGAATTTGTAAACAGACACACAACTGTATTCTTTGAACCCCCGTGCTTTGTCACTCAGAAGATCACATGGGGCAGCAGGGAATCACAACTATTTAGCACCATTTCTCATAAACTCGGGCACATTTGCAATATGCATTCTATACTCACTTAGGCAGTTTCCAGGCATCTTGGAACTCTTGCTTATCACAGCCACAAGCATTAAATAGCCCTTCTGTCCAGTCTCCCACAATACGGATATGAATGCTAAAAAAGTCTTCCTCAGGAGCAGAGGTCAGGGTGAATGGGTGCCATTCCAGCTTGGATACCTTGGGGCACTTGACAAAAATATACTGTCCTACCTCCATCTTGAATCCCTTCTTCTTCATCTGAAGCTCAATGGTTTTAAAAGGGTGAGTGACCACCTGCAAAATTAAAAGGTGACCCTGAAAATTACATGTCACCAGAATACTTGCATTTTCATGGTTCACATGGATAAAATACTTCATTAAATATTTATTTAAGGACCAAAACAGAAACAGATATATGTCATTTGGGATTTGTCCTCAAATGTGGCCATTGGCTAATGATGGCCTGAAGTATCGACACAAATTTCTAGTGTTTTCTTTTCAGTCGGAGACAACTCCAACATCCCCTTGTAGGATTAGCTGACATTGCAGCTGCAACCACAGTGTGGGCCAGGTCAACCCTTCTCTTTTCCTCATTTTGTCTTCCTTAATATTTTAAGATCTTTTCTTGTTTGTTTTGAAACATGGTTTCTGTATGTAGCCCAGGGTAGTCTGAGAGGAGTGATGTAGCCCAAGCTGGCCTTGAGCTCATGTTCTCCTACCTCAACTTCCTGATTACTGGGATCATGGGAATGGGCTCCCACATCTGGTTTTACTTTAATTTTGAGTACATCCTCTGAGAACACACTCCTAATAAGATTTTTGCATTCAGTTCTCTGTTTCACAACTTTAGTAGGAAATTGAAACTATCAGTCTGCTGTGACTCTCTCTCTCTCTCTCTCTCTCTCTCTCTCTCTCTCTCTCTCTCAAGCTAAAGAAAGCACAAGGATAAAGCACAAAAAATAGAAAAAAAAATACACAAACAAGCTTCTGAAGGGGGCATTGGAAGCCAGCCAGAATATACCGGTTTCACCGACTATTGCAATTGCCTCCAAGTGAAGCTAACCATGCTGTATGTTCTTGTCCGGAATCACACCTTAACATGCCCAATTTCATGCAATGTTTCTACATTTTTCTCCACTTAGGGAGGATACCATCTATCTCTCCCTAAGACAGGTGCTATATTTATTGTCCATACAAACAATTGGCCATAGAAAGTCTATTCAAATAATCCAACTCTAGTAAATGGATAGATAATTCTAAAACAGAATGGAATAAGGGAACCAGAAAGTAGATATTCTTTCTTGTCAAAAAGATGTATTCACTCCCAAGTTTATTTCAGCACTACAGCTATGCTCTGGAATCAACCTAACTATACAATGACTGGGTAAGGAAAATGTGCTGTATGTGCACAGTAGATGGCTATTCAGCAACAAGAAACCTTCCTATCTGTCTGTATGTCTGTATGTCTATCTAAGTGTATATGTCTCTCTTTATTTTGTAAAGAAAAAGCAAAACCTAGGAAAACAGAAAAGTCACTCCAAACTTGGAAGTTGGAGACCAAATGCAAGGTGAAGCTTATGCATTAATCTGCTTGACACAAATACACTGTGATTACTTATAAAGAATACAAGGAGGAACTAGAAAGATTTTTCAGCCTCCTTTGTTTGCTTCTTGTTGTTTTTTAGTACCTAAAAGTTTTTGTCTCAATAACACATAATGTGTGTGGTGGGTGTCATAGAAAGTGATGCATTATAATGTCCCCACCTAGAGGCCAATCCATTTCATCATTAAGTTAAACTCATTAAAATAAACTGTAGGCTTTTCGTTTTCAGTTTAATAAAAAGAATGTGGCTAAGAGACCTTTTTGATCAACAGTATAGAGAATGTGAGGAGACCTGCCCATGTAATACTTAGCTAGTAATACATAAAATTCCCACATCAGTACATACCTTAGTGATGACCACCTTCTGTTGAGATCGCCAAAACCGGACCAGCCTCTCACAGAGATACAGGAACATGGGACCCACTATCCATTTCCAAGTCTGTAATCATATCAAATACAAACATGAGCTGTGTTAAGGGAGTAGTGACAGCTAGTGAAATATTCAGAATAAGAAAACATTTTACAAGCCAGGCTAACCTCTGTACACTTGTTTAAGTATTTACTACTGATGAGCTTTTTTTGTTAATCAAACAGAATGTATGAAAATATCAAAAGTTAAGATAAATTGTGATGCCAGTGAAACAGCCACATTGGAGTTATATGTTATAGGAACTGTATCTACAGTGTGAGACGTTTGAAAGAGGACTTGCTACAAGAATGAGATTTCCTCTCTGTCACAACTGTCATTGGACTAGACTACAACAGAGCCCAGATGGTATCAGATTGAACCTGTCTCATTTCAGCAGTATGAGATTTTTAATGCAACATTGCAATTGTTTTCTCCCAGTCACTGACTCTGAAATTAATCTTTTGCAAAATGACAAATTTTTGTGAAAGTCTTCAGCTGTCTTCTTCAATATTCTGATAGACTCTAGGAGCTGTGCAATGTATTGCTGAAGGGACACACAGGAAGATTCTAAGGCTTCTATATAAGTGTCTGAGCAGAATACAGAAATTGCTTCATAGATTTTTAGTCTTTATATAAACATTTAGGCCCAACAGGTCTACCAGTTGGATTCCTAGTATAATATTTGCAGTACTAAAAAAAATTTAAAATATCTAAAATTTAATTTTCTAGAATGGAATCTGAAGTAGAAAATAAAAGCATGTTTCTCATATGTCCTGGTTGGTTTTGTTCGGTTTTTCTCTTGTCAACCTGACACAAGTTAGAGTTATCTTGGAAGAGGAATATCAATTGAGAAAAAAAAAATGCCTCCATCCAGATTTTCTGTAGCCAGGTTTGTAGGGCATTCATTTTCTTGATTGATGAACGATGTGGGAGGGCCCAGCTCCCTGTGGTCAGTGCTACACTTGGGTGGAGGTCCTTATTTCTATAAGAAAGCAGACTGTGCAAGCCAAGAGGAGCAAGCCAGTAAGAACAAGCCAGTAAGAACAAGCCAGTAAGAACAAGCCAGTAAGCAGTACCTCTCCATGGCCTCTGTATTAGTTCCTGCCTCTAGATTCCTGCCTTGGGTTCTTGACCTGACTTCTTTTAGTGATGGAGTGTGACCTGAAAGTTATTATCTGAAATAAACCAACCCCCCACGCACAATTTGCTCTTTGTCATGGTGTTTAGAAATCATAATTAGGACCTTATAGTTTCAATAGTCTATTAAACTATATTTTTGACATTATATTGTTGGAGAAATTGAAAGTGCTCAGATTCTCTACATCACTAGCTAAAACTGAAGAATATCTGTAAGTGAAGAGTATTCTTTTGCTCTGCTTCATCTTTATTAGATTGGTATTTTAAAAGTATCCCATCTATTTTCTATGTGATACCATAGAGTGTCATTGAATGGCATCAGATTTAGACATTTTCTTTGATATCTTCAGAAACCTAGAAGTAGTTTTGCGGCTGTTGTCTGCAAAGGAAGTAGAACTCACTGCAGCTGTCATCAAGGAACTGTGACTTCTCTCACCCATAAAAGAACTATTAATAAATAATGTTTGTTTTTTATGCATTCTATCAATGGCTGAATATAGTAGGGCAAGTCACTGCTTAATCAGCTTGATTTCATTCATGAGCAAGGATACTCAAAAGCATTAAGCTGTCGAGGAGCGATGAGCATAGTAAAAGAATATTCCCAGGTCAAGAGAATAGGAGAAATGGAATAGGAGATGTCTTTATATTATACAATGCTTAAGAAAAGAGTTATAATACTAGCCAGAAGCCCCAGACAAATGTTCAATTTACACTAGTGGCTAGCACAGCAACTAACAAAATATAGTGTCTGCCAATGAAAGAAAAGAGCACATGAAGATTATAAAGCTCACATGGGCAGAGATATAAAGACTGCTCAGAATGGAGCTCAGAAGAACTCTCTATGGGAGAAAGCAAGTATTTTACCTTGTTTCCCCTTAATTACCCTTGTTATACCCCTACTCTATCACAATGTGACTGCCCTTGGTGTTTGTATGATTCTGGCTGTGCATCTTTGTGGTCCTGATAGATGGGGTGTCCTGATGCCTAAAGGCAGCACAATGCACTACTTCACCCATTTTCTTAACAATTCTGAAAGCCATATAGACTTCCTGGTAACCAAAGAGACCCACAGCTCTTTATAGGTGATTTATTTGAGCCCTACAACTCAGATCAGGATAGAATCCCTAACTTCATCTTGGAAAATTGTTAACTTCTATTATTGTGATTTCCATACCCTTAAGAGGAGGAGGAGGCAGTGGTGGTGGTAGTGACAGCTCTTAACCCCAAAGAACAATTGAAAGCAATGCTTTTCTGCTTCTTTCTAGGACATCGACAACAGATCAATGTAAAGTTTGTTTTTCAAGAAAAGTTCTAGCTAATTCACATAGCAAAGTATCTATAACATTTGTACCTGTTTCTTAAGTCTACCAGTAATAGCACTATAAAAAAAAAAGCAATAGAAATACACACCATAGGAGGATTCCCAGAGAACTTTGGTACTGGGCACTCCTTTATTGTTCCCCATTTTGAGATTTTGTCTTCACAGAACTCTATATTATGCTTGTCCAAACTGTCTTTCGTCTGTCCACGTACAATTCGTCTGGTGAATAAAAAAAAATATATAAGTCTGCATCACTTAATAACAAGACAGTAAGCTGCTTGAGTGTTTTAGACTCTTGGAATCCAGAGCCTCATATATACTAGGCAAGCACTGTAACAATGAGTTGTATGGAAATATTGCAAGTATTTATATGGGGGACCCTGAGCTTTTTACTATCACTTCTGATTGAGTCAGGGAAGGAAATGAAAATGTGTGATCTTGAACAATAGAAAAACTCTGGGCTGGGCAGCAGTACAAAGATGTGTATCATTTTATGGATTTTGAGTCTTGGATTACCAACATGTGCCTTTTAAAATTATAAAAAAAGAAGAACGGGCTTCTATTCAAGTATCAATTTTGTGTTTAGGCAAACAGAAAGCAGAAACAAAAAACCCGATAGTTCTAGCAGGCTGATTGTTAACCCATGGGGTGCCTTTGTGCAGATTTGGAAAAGGTCATCTGTGAAGACATTTCAACAAGCCATGTGTGGCCAACAGAGAGCTGACTACCTTCCAGAATTTTAGACAGGCATTTTAATATTCTGAACAACCCACACAACCACACACAATGGCTTTGGGGCTATCAGAAGTGCTTTATTTGTAGATCACTAACTTGTCAAGGCAAGGCATGGTAAATACCTGTAATCCCTGAACTCTACATGTTAACACATGAAGAATGTGAGCTTGAGGATTTCAGGCCAATCTAGTCTACATAGTGAGACTACATCTGGAAGATATTTTAAAAATTATATCTTTCTGAGAAGATTCAACCATCCTCACAGATATGAGTACCATACTATGTTCCTTCAGGTGCTTACAGCTTATTTAGTTCAACTCAATAAATATTAACTAATCAAATATTAGAATATTAGGTGATTGTGGGTTAGTAATGATGGAGAGAGGGAAGCACAAAATGGAATAAGTTATTTCAAAAAAAATGTAAATGGCATGGCCTTCAGAATATATTAATAAAAGAGACATGGAAGTCCATTTGTAAACTCCATTTGGGCTGCCTAAAATTTAGGATCTCATTTAGTATGGTGTGAGAATGGTTTAACTCAAGGCCATTAAGCATTCCCCACCTTTGTGTGAAACAGGGTCTCATTAGGTTATTCTGGCTGGCCTGGAAGTTACTGTGGAGGCTAACCACTTCCTATTCCTCCCCTTCCTATTCACAGGTCTTGGTGAAGAGACTTTCCTTGCATGAGGACATACTATGGGTAGACTCAAGGAAAAGTACTATTCACCAATTATTTCAGTTAATCTGTGAAATAACCTTGAGAGGCATGTATGATTTTTTTGCAAATTTTACATGAGGGTACACAGATAGCCTTGACCTCCAGTCTCAAGTCTACCCATTCATATGTTGGTAGTCTTGATAAAATTAGCTTCTTTTGAGTATCAGTTACTCCATCTGTAAAACAGATACATTTTGTCCCCAAAGATTGAATTTAGTGATCAAGGGACATGGCACATGAAAAACATCATGGACAAAGCAGTAGTCTGAGGAATAGTAATTACAAATGGTCTTGATTTCCTAGTTCACACGGGGAAAAATTAATAGAAAAAATACAATATTTTCCTCATGCTCTAAACAATAGAATCCAAAGCCTGCAAATCAGAATTTTAATTCTGCTTCAGCTGTTACCTAGCCATCAGACCCTGAGCAATCACTTAACCAGTGTAAATAGAAACTATGACTTAGGTTGAGAATAAGGCAAATAAATCCCTGTCTGAGCCAAAGGAAGATGGCCATCTGTGCCACTATGCAAACTGGAGTGGTGGGATTAGTAAAGGAGGGAGGGGAAGAAATGTCTTCACTTTTGTAGGATTTAGTGAGATAGCTAGATTATGAGCAAGTTCCACTTAAAGACACTCTGCTGCTTTAGGAGATGTAGGAGACTGTTAATTCCTACAGATATACCAGTGCTTAGAAAGAGTTTACCAGGGGTTCAAGACAGGAAGGAGGTTAAGAATGCACACAGAAGTTGGCCACAGTTGCATCTTCTCATCCTTCCTCTTTTCACTCTCAAGACTTGGTCACCCCTAGGTTACTTGGCTTGAGTTTTGCATATTTACTTTCCCCACCCTTACGTTCCCGGAACTCTATACCCATCATGGAACTTCCCTGGGTATAGCTTTTATGTGCAGATGGTGTGAAAGAGTAGAAAAATGAAACTTGATATTAAAGCAGAGTTTTCCAAGCATACAGCCAAGCACTGTGTATCTTTGTGGGAGTATTCACCACAGCTCACTCTAGACTACATGTTCTCCAGGCTACACACCAGCTGGGTGTGGGCTGGCCCACATATTGTACCATTTTTATTTTGGGGTTCTTCATCTAGACACTAGAGGAGTTAAACGAAACATTGAATGTTAAGTTCTTGGCACCTGACATAGAGCTTGGTAGAAGTTATTACTTTCATCATATTCAAAAGTTTGAAAGCAATGCCTATGCATTTTTCTAGCTAGCATTCATTCACAGTTCCTGTCATAGATCCTCATACCCAGTAGGCAACGATTATTTGCTTAAATCAAAATCACCTGGGCAATGGAATATCTCATCAACTGATTAATCACTAACTCTTTTATTTTGGGATTTTGCCTAACCTACTTGTGATTTAGTCATAGTAAACAATGCAGAGGACATCCAAGAATTTACCTTTCACTAAGGTGTGGCAAATAGAGAGTGGACTACCTTCCTTCTCTTTAGGCGGGAATTTTTAGTTGACAATCTACACAATCAGACATAGTGCCCTGAAACTAGTTAGATGGGTACAACAAGAAAGCAAAAAGTGTTGCTGTTTCTTTTGACTGATATCTGCTGTGCCATTACAATCCCTCAATAGAAAGGATGAACACACAAGATCAAGGAAGTCACTGTGGCTATCACTGGACAATACATCTAGAAAGTGAATCACAAGTCTTTGACAATAGAATTAGAAAACTCACTCAGCTCCATGGATGGCAAGGCCAATGAAGAAGATCACAAATAGATGGTGTGTATACCAGAACACTTCAAAGTAAGACCTCCGGATGGTTTTGGTAGAAGATGTGATGATTAAAATGAGACACAGTGTGATGACAATTCCTGTAATACCAGCCAACCTAGTCACGGCCACATACAAGCCCCCTTCAGGGTTCTGGAAAATAGAAACGTAGGCTCTTAACTGCAGGAGTTTCTGTTTTAAAGCTGTTTATATAAGGCATTTCCTGTCCCTCTGGCTATGCTCATCATTGGCTCTCAGAGAGAGATGGTATTGAGGTTTTCAAATTAAACTGTCTCACATTGTTGAGGAGTCATAGATAAATAAGAACCATTACATTCAGATGATTCTAATGGAGTTCAGTGGTAAAAAAAAAAAAAACTGACCTAGTAAAACATGTCCTCAGAATGTATTATGCTCTCTCTTTGATTTGGAAAGATCACAGTACTTAATTGGCCAATGAATTCTGAGAATACCTACCATCTGAGGCTGAGTTCTCCATGACTGGATCCTGAGATGAGAACTGATGGGCAAATGACTTAGAAACAAGGTGTTTCAAGAAAAGCTGCTCAGCAAAGAAGGAATGGGGTGGAGAAAAGAAGGAAGTCGGGCAAGGGGAAACTCACAGACAACATCTCACAGGGCTAGCTTTAACTTGCCCTTTAGATGCTCTCTCATCATGTTTATTTATAAAAATAGTAAAACCTGTAGGCAGCAGCTCTTATCAGTTGGCAAGACCAGGCTGTGATGCACAGAAAAGCACAGGGTCAGGCTGAGGCTATCCCCATCGAGACTGTCCCTGTTTTTGTTTGTTTTGTTTTCTGTCTCCAATATCAGAGAATTCTATTGAATGAGGGTGGGAGAATTTCCTACACTCAGGCATACACCTGAGCCAAGCTGAGAGGAAGCTGTACCTCAGAGTTTGTACTGACTAAAGGGAAGAAGCTGCACTTCAAGGCCTGCACTCACCAGTTGTTTGCCAAAGGCTTCTCCTGGAGAAGTAACTGTGCATGCATATCTTTGGGCAGAGATACTGGTGGCCTCAAGGGGGACAGGCTAAAGTGACTGGAAAGGAAAACACTCTGGAGGAAGTGCAGCTCCAATAAAAGTGACCCAAGGAAAATAGGAACAAGTATGACAATGTCAGTTCAACTGATATGTTCAAATTGTCATCCTTATACATCATTGGGCAAACAATGGAAAGAAAAAGTATCCACTGTATCATACAAAAAAAATTTATGAATCACTCCAGTTTTTCTTATATCAATTTGAACATAACAATTTTGGAAAAGTTGATTTTTGTCTTGTAGCGGTTTTTCTAAATGCAGAAAATTTGTTTGAAATTCAGTGGGTAACTTAACTGTCTTCCTATGCCACAGGAAGCTCCTTTCTGAGTGGAAGAAGCTTCAGGAACTCATTGGATGAAAGCCTATGGATACCCATGAGAGTTCATGGATGCCCATAGAAAAATTAAGTAAATAAATCTTAAAAAAGAAAAATAAGACTATTCTGAAATCATGCTTGAGTCTAGACAAAGCATGGGTTCTTTACATATCAAGGCTAGCCCTGTTCTTTTCTTTCAGTCTTCCAGAAAAATAATTAAGAAATTAATCCCAGAACTACCCCCAATTCCTGATCATATAAGATTCAAATAAATACTGTCTTTCTTAAACATTCCATCAAACCATCTAATACAAGCTTATGTTGTCTAGCAAGTCCCCCAAAACATTCTCTTCAGGAATTCACTTGGACTTCTTTAAGATATGAGATCTGTTTCATTGTAGCAAGTATTACACCCAGCTTTGATTGGACATGAATCCCTTGCTTTATTTTAGTGATGTGCACAATCATGGGTGAGTGTGAGTTACTACAAGATCTGCATGGAAAATTTCTCCAAGAGAGCCCAGAATTCAGGAAATACCCAAGCAGTCTGCACACATGGGACCAATGGGATAGGAGACAGTTCCTTTACACTTACATTCTAAGCCATCAGCAAACTTTTTCATTGTTGATTTTATGGGACAAAGTATAGCTTTTCACTATACTTTGTTTTAATAGCCCAGGAAACATCTGAATCAGAAAAAGGGGGGCTTACCTTGATTTTTTCTCTAGCAAAATTGAGATACTCTTCATTGTCCTTGTCACCGATTTCAGAGAGTGATACTGAATATGGGTCAGAATTGTTGACTCTGGCATTCACACACCACTCCACATTGAACAGATGTGCAATGGTGTGGATCGCTGAAGAGGACAGAAAAGAGAGACAAAGAGGAGGAGAGGGATGAATAATATTATTGGAATCTAGGTTTTTGGCCACAGCCTATGACTCTCAAGCAAAACAAAGGGATGCAGTTTAGGATGCTGTATACAACAACCAGTGAGGCAAGACAGTTCTAATAGGTCAAGTTTCTTTCTGCCTGTGTGACTGCTATTGGTTCTCTCAATTTTAAAATGAAGGTCTTTAACAGTTGCGAAGATCCAACCAATTTCTAAGATTACACATTTGATATATTCACATCCTCTCTTTTTCCCTAATGTATTTGTGCTCGTGAGAAAAGAACTCTCGTGCTGTCTTCTAAGTCACCTCCAGAGAACATGGACAAATGTAATTGAATTACTACAAACTGATGGTCAAGATGACGAATCTCTGAGTTAAAAAGAAACTGCATTCATTATTTCACCATCACTTGCCTAGAGCTTCTTAGGGGCCTGGAACTGTTCTGAGAGCTTTACGATTATTCAATCCTTATAGTAAACCAATGGTCTAAGTACATTTAATATCAGCTCATCTAAAAGATAAAGGAATCAGAGCATAGATTGCTTTAAATCTTGCCCAAAAACCCTGTCTCAAAAACAAAACAAAACAAACAAACAAATAAAAAAAATCTTGCCCAAGGTCACCTAGCCAAGAAGCAGCTGAATTAGGAATCAAATCCAAGCTCTATGGCACCTGTGTCTGTATTCGTACTGGTATAGTATGCCACTTTCTAACAAGACATTATCATTCATTTCTTCTGAAGCATTTCATTTACCACAACTCAAAGTCCTGAACAATCTGGTGTAAGAAGAGAAACGCCTCTAAACTAAGTTCATTTTCATCAGGTAAGAGACTCCTCACAGGCCTGTTTTGTTCATTAGTGTTTGTGACTATTTTCTGGCAAATAAATTATTTAAGCAATTTCGGGGAGATTGTGTAACAGTTCTAGGCATATCCTTTGTTGCAACAACACCCACACCACAATAGTAATATAATACATTACATGTAAAAACACATGACGAGATAATAGTAATAATCAGCAAGGCATATAGGTGTTAAGGGCTTCCTTAAGATATTTTTAATCTATAGCTCACTTTCTGTAGGTTTACTGCAAAAACCCACAAAGTCCATATATATAGCAAAGTGATTTGATAAAATGAATAAAAATTTTCGTGTTTTCACTAACAAACATCTTAATACTAAAAAGATAGGAAATGCTGAAAATATGAGGACAGACTATATAGTATGTTTTTATTTTATTTATATAGAAAGATCCTATAGTTAAACACACACACACACACACATACACACACACACACAGTAGGCATGAATCCTAATATCAGAAAGTTGAATCTGAATGCTTTTAAATTGATTTCATCTGGACATGGAGAATCTGATACAAAGAATAGACTGGTCCTCCATTGCAATTTATTTGCATTCCAAATGTCATTTCAAACTCACCAGTGTGAAGTGCTATCATCCATGCTACCATTTTATGGAAAGTGAGGTTCCGATCCAGTTGTCTTCGAATTCTTGTTGAGCAACACTTTGGATGAAGAGAAAAAAGAATGGTAGAAACTATTAATGTGAAAGCCTTCTATGTCTAAGATACTTTGCATGCATCGTCTCATGTAATTCTCATAACCATTCTCCAAGGATATATTTCCATTCACTTGGTTGATGAGAAAACTTCTAGAGGTAGTTAGTCGTCTCTCTGAGTTCAGACATCCAGATTAAATAATGTTTCCTATTCTCATACTAGTGACATGAAGTCCTCTTTTAAATGTCTTTTTCATTGTATAAAGTTTTGAATTTTACAAAATATGTCTCTAGTTATGATTAATTTATTTAATAAACAAGGGATCTAAAAATTCATAAACAGTAGGCTGATTGTTACATTCCTAGGAATCCAGTATGGACAAAGATGAGTGAACAGTTCTAGAACAAGCAAATAGGTCGTCAATCCAATTGCTCATATATGCTATAGAAGGAGGGAAGTGGGTTCACTTGGTCAGAGATATTACAAGAAGGATCACTCTCATATAATAAAAATAGTTAATAATAATAATAACTAACAATTACTGAGAGCTTGTAGAAGAGCTTCTTTAAGTCTTTTAATTCTTACTCTTACGTCAGTTTTATTAAGGAGAGAAGAGACCCTTGTCTAACAGCTGAGGAAAGAAAGGTGATTATCTTGCCTTATGTGATGTAGCGGGATTTAAATTCAGACCATCTGAGAACTGTTTGTATCAATATTGCAGTAATTTATATGATAACTTGACATTCAAAATAGAAAGTTTGTCCAGTGTATTTGGCCCACCCCCAAATGTTAACATGCATAGATTTGAATGTGGAGTAAACTCTGTGCTCAAAGCAGAGAAAGCAAAACCTTGCTGATGGTTGAAATAGAGTTTTTGCCTCATAAAATCTGACCACTTGCTTGTTCTAACTGCGTTGTCCCACAATTTAAATGTACTGTCACAAAAAATCAAAGTTCTTTAAAGAGGACAGTGAGCTTCTAAAACAATCTTAGGTAATGCTCATACGTGGATCTAAATACTGTATTTAATTTAAATAAAGAGGTTACATATTTTTAATAAGATTCTGACTTTGTAGAAAGGTATTTATGAGAAATTGTACTTACTCTACTGTTTCTCAGTAGCCCACCTAAAAGGAGGGAAGGCTACATAAAAGAAGACCCTTGGAATCATAAAAGTACTTATAAGGAAGATGATAGGGATTACAAGTAAAGTGGAAAAGCTTAATTGTCTTGTGTGACCCAGAAAATTTACTCATCACTTGATGCAATAATGTAAGTATTCTTGTCTCCATTAGAGATAAAAAAAATAAATTTTCACTTTGGCTGGGACTTCAAGCTATTGTTTGTCTATCAAAAGTCTCTGCTTTCCATCAAATCAGGTGCAAGGACACCATCATTGTTATTTTAGGTGCCTCAAAAATCTGACTTAAGAATATAAGTTTCAGGATCCTTAGTGGAAAGTGGTTATAGGAAGTGAAGGTAGGAGAACAAACCGCAGAGTGGAAAGAAATCAATAAAGGGCATGTGATCATTCAGCTACCACAGTTCTTTAACAGTGATCTCATTCAGACCAGGTAACTCCTTTATATTTTTAAGGAAATGGCCTTCTGTCTCTTGACTACCATAGTCTTTCAGTTTTTAAGAATCGTTCTGGTAGACAGAGTTCTGGAATGACTTGTAATAACCCGGTGCAATCTTCTTCCTTGACTTTGGATGGGACCCATAATTAGGACATGAGATTTTGTTAACTTATATGGTAAAATGGATTCTGAAGATGTAAAATCCAAAATTGACTTACAGATGGAGATTATTTTCTGTGAATCTGGCACTATCACATAATCTCTTAAAATCTAGGTCTAGAAGTTCCAAGTAGAAGAAGTTATAGATTTGAAATACAAGAAGGACTTAAGTTACTATTATTGGCTGGAGAATGGAGATAGCTACATGACAGGGAGGTGATGGATCATGTAGGGTCCAAAAGTGGCCAGTGACAACTGCTAGCAAGAAAATAGAGAGCACAGACCTGCAACTGCAAGGAACAGAATTTTTCCAAGAAGGAGCTAGAAAAGTGGTTTTTGGTTTGTTTGTTTATTTATTTATTTATTTATTTATTTATTTATTTATTTATTTCATTGTACAGAGCTGATGATAGAACCCAGGGCCTTGTGCATGCTAAAAACGTGTGCTATCTCTGAGCCCAGACATGCAGATGAATATTCTAATTCGGTTTCAAGGTACATTCATTTCCTCTCAACCCAGCAACATTTTATTTTTAATCTAAGTTTCATAGAACTCTGAGTAGAGAAGTCAAACACAGGATGTTGTACCTCTGTTTTTCAGCTTGTAAATGAGGATTGTTAAAAAAACATTGCATCTCTGGCAATTTGTTGCACAGAAGTAGATACTAATAGCATCCTTCCTGGAGTGGCAAACTGGATTAGATACTTAAAAATCACAGAATGGTCTGGGCAGTAGTGGCACAGGCCTTTAATCCCAGCACTTGGGAGGCAGAGGCAGGCAGACCTCTATGAGTTCAAGGCCTGTTCTACAGAGTGAGTTCTAGGACAGCCAAGGCCGTTACACAGAGAAACCCTGTCTAGAAAACCAAAACCAACTAGACTGGCACTGAGTCCAAGATCTAACTCTAATGCACACAGTGACTTAGTGGAGTCCATTCTATATGGAGAGATACCTTGCCCAGACTAGACACAGGGGTGCCTTGGTTCTGCCTCAATGAGATTATGGGACAGACTTAATAGACTTCCTACAAAAGGCCTTACCCTCTCTGAGGAGCAGATGGGAGGTGGCAGGGGGAGAGGATGAAGGGGTAACTGGGATTGGAATGTAAAAAATAAATTAATAAAAACAATTTAAATAAAGAAAATGAAAAAACCGTAATTAAACAAAGAATCACAAGATGGGAATTAGTATGGTTGAAAGCAGTAATGAATTACGCTTGAAAGTAAGTTCTGCCTCCACATGTATCTATAGTGAGTCACAGACTTACTGCTTCGCTGTAGGACAGTTTTCTCACCTATGTAATCATAGAAGTTCTTCTCTAGGAGGCATGTGTTCATTGAGGGATGTTTCATTAGAATCTGAAGCTAACTTGCATCATTGTGTAACTAAATTCTCATCTAACCCTTGTTCTCCAGCTGGAGGGCAAGCATCCTGAACAAAGATCAGCATGCTATATACTTTTAATTTTTTTCATTACTGATCACTTGGCCACACAAATGAACCATACTCTTGACTGCCTTGAAAATAAGATCATTAAGCCTATCTATATTTGCTACTGCTTATTTTCTATTTGTGTGAAGAATTGAGGGAAAAATTAACTAGCTACTGCATCATAACAAATTTGAAGAGAAATAGTATAGCTTTGTTGGGCTCCCTATGCCACCTCTATAGTTTCATCTTTAACACCATCATTAATTAGCATCCATAAAATTTAAGAAATACTAGATGCTGATGAACCTTACCAACCTTTGACACAACCATTAAAAATAGATGTAGTGTTAGAATAATGGAGAGATGTGATATGATTAGGTAATACAGTCTCTATTCAGAGATAACCATTATATCTTAACATGTAATTAATGCAAAGTACATTTTATTCAAAGAGAAAACTAGTGAATCAATGGAACAGGTCCCACCAGGGCAGCAATCCTTCATTTTCCCTAACCGTTGTCTTCAGTGTGCTCAGGAATTGTAAACAACCCTAAAAAGAAGCCGTAAGTCATGCTGATGCTGACCTTTCAAGAAAATGATCTCTTTACCACTTCCTGAAAATGAGGCAGGATGATTAGTTGGTAAAGTTGGAAGGAAGGGCCTTCCTGTCTTTGATTGTCTGGGCCTTTTCTGTTCCTCCTTACCCTACACATGCCATTTCTGTGCTTTGGCTCACCTCTGAATTACTACCAGCCATCTCCCAAATAACCAAGCTGTCATCATGCCTTATAGTTTCCTCAGGAAACTAGCTCTTTGCCTTTGTCCACCAACTTCTAAAAGGAAGTTTCTCTATTACTGTCACAAAGAGCCTTGCCCAATTTCAACAAACTAACATTATAGTGCAAGGGCAATTGTTGGGACATCATGGCAAATTTCTATGCTCTATTGAAACTGAATTTCAAAATAGTGAAAAGTGGAACTAAAATGCAGTACATATTGAATAGGGTCTATTGTGAACTTTTGTAGCTCTATTTTATGTATACTTGGTCTGATTCTGTTGGTGTTATATAGTTATAAACATTTTAGGTAAAACGTCAAGAGCTATCCATGCATCTACCTATAGAACTCAGGCAAAGAATCTGACAGTAATATACACACATAGTGACAGTAAAAATATGTGATAAAGATGAAGTGTAGCACTTTATATGGTACTCCTTATAAATTTGAAATCCCATGTTTATGCTATATCTTTTCCACAAGACTCTAAGCTCCTTAAGCTTGTGGCCATCTGCCCTTACTCACTCTGTGTCTCTAGTTATTAATATTTTGGAAGACTTCTACTGGGGCGACAAATAAATGACAAACTTAATTATCAGTATATTTTAACTAAAAGTATGTTCATCCATGTTCTTTTTTCAACATGGGAGATGGAATTTAGGGCCTTTTGTATTGGCATGTGTTTCACCACTAAGCTACAGCCCTTCCTAGAAGGGCATATCTATATTCAATTTGCATCATTTGACCTGCTTTCCTGCTAAATCATTCCTGAGACAGAAAGCACAAGGGACTCCTCCTAGGAGGACACATGGCTGGAGGCGAAGCCATGCAAGGCCTCTGCTTCTGAGGCTATATAAGGTATAAGGCAAAAGACCTTACCTTTTAACTTTCCTGTTTTAGTCTGAGCAGAAGATTAGGACAGTCACAAGTTAGAAATTTGTTTCTACACGTTCAAGCGAGGTCATTAAAAGTTCACCAAAGACTTCTATATGCTTAGGCCTATACTTTTCCCATCTCTGTCAACAAAGCTAGCTAAGAGCCTTCACCCTATTTGTTTTGGAGGGGGTAAGGACACACAGACAGAGGGCTTTTTGGCTCAAAATCAAAGTCTGAATGATTCAGACCCCTAAAACTGAACAGAAATTCCATGTCTGTTTAGTTAGCAGAACGTTCCATTAACAAGTTCTTGAAATTATTATATCATTACCATTTCTGGAGTAGGTTATTTAGCAGGGTCAAATACTCATATTAAACAGAGCCACATGGACAGTACAAAATGTTTAGTTGGCGCATACAAAATCAAATGGGTCCTGGGAGCACAATGGCTTGGCTTTGAATCGCAATCCTCCCATTTAATTATGTCCCCACCTCACTCCCTTGACATGAGTTCTGTGGTACTTCAGTGAGCTGTGACTGTTCTGATTTCCAACATTGGTCACAGCACACTCACTCATTTAAATCTCAATCAGAAAAGTAGTTTCATTTTTCAAAGTTCGAATGTCCCTGTAACAGACCGTTGCTTTTGGGGGAGGGGAAGTGGGAAGGAAGGGTCAAAGAAGAGGTGGTATGAAGCATGAAGTGCAGTCCTAGGAGAGGAAGAGTATAAATGGCAGCCAGAACCAAGTATGTATGAAAATGCCCTAAGGAGAAACCTGACTTTGTATGCTAATTTAAATAAATAAATAAATAAACAAGTGAGGGAAACTGTTCTTTTGTGTGAAGATCTAACTATCTGGTTACACAGTTGAGCTTTTCTCCAATTTAACCCCCTGAACCTGGGTGTTAGTTAGGAGGACAGGCAGCGGGCAGTCTATGGGGCCTCTGGTAGTGGATCTGTATTTATCCCTAGTATACAAATGGACTTTGAGAGCCCAACCCACATAAAGGGATACTCCCTCAGCCTAGACACATGGGGGAGGGCCTAGGCCCTGCTCCAAATTATATGACAGACTTTGAAGACTCCCCATGGAAGGCCTCACCCTCCCTAGGGAGCAGAAAGGGGATGGGATGGGGGTTGGTGGGGGGAACAGGGGAGGAAGGGAGGGTGCGGGAACTGGGATTGATATGTAAAACAGGCTTGTTTCAAATTTAAATAAACAAAGGAAAAAAATAATATAGCAACTGACAAAAAAAATCTCATGCGGATCTTCACCCATGGGCCACAGGATACCCTAAAGCTGACATTTTATATGTGTTGCTTGTGGGACATGGTCACTCAAGGCAATGCAACTTGGGGTTGTGGAGTAACCAGGATTTCTTAACTGACCACCTTGGTGAAAACACTGCCTGTTTCTCAGGCTTTACTTCCTCTAAATAGAAAGTACTCAAATGGGGACATGTCTCCATATAAAAAGAAAACATCACTGTGCGATGGTTTCATCTCACATCTCTTCATCTGGCCCCTGTACTATTTAAACGATGGACGGGCAGCTTGGCTATCAGCCTTTCAATCCAGCGAAATTTCATCTATGTGGAGTCTTCCATTCAGGAGATTATTTGGAAAGCCTCACGCGGTTGATGTCTAACACCAGGTGCTGTTCTGAGGTTTTGCCCTGGTTTTGCTCAGTTTGCAAGGCGAAATTGTGACACATCAAATTAATGAGTTAGATAAAAGAGCTTTGTCTCACTATTTTCCAGAGCCAAAGTTCCTGACCTTTTCCGGAGAATCTCAAAGGATTTGCCAACATTCTTCTTCTATTTCTGTCTGTTTGAGTTGTTTTGCTGCTGAGCAAAACGACTAACACTTTGCTCCTGCATGCTAGGTTAATGCTGTACTACAAAGCTGTACCTTCTCCTGACTCTTCTCAGACCCCTGAGAGTGTAGTTTATGGCATAGCATTTTGTAAAGAGGTGGGTAGTAGCAAAGTTTAATTGTTGTCTGCTCATCCCATTTTAGCAAATTGGGGTATACATGTTTTTAAATTAAAAACTCTTCTTTAGACTAATATGAATTTTGTATGAGTAGGAAGAGGGGGGGCAAAGTGAAACACAAGTGTATCTGTAAATCACAATCTAGTTCATATATTCAGTAATTGTCAGCTGAAGTGTTAATTCTTTAGCTATACATTTAAGTATCTAGTTTCCCAGCAAAATTCCTACTTTCTTCCCCAGTCTTATCTTAGAGCAGTGGTTCTCAGCCTGTGGGTCGTGACCCCTTTCACAGGGGGTAGAAAAACATGAATGTTTACATTACGATTCATAACAGTAGCAAAATTAGAATTATAAAGTAGCAATGAAATAATTTCATCACAATATGAGGGACTGTATTAAAAGGTCATAGCATTAGGAAGGTTGAGAACCATTGCCATAGACTCCCATTACAAATACTGTACTTTCATAAACATGGTTTGCTTGCTGTTTTCTTTCAAAATTGATTTTAACTTAAATATTTTAAGATTTTAGGAGGAGTAGACAAGTTTGTGTGGTGGCTAGAGGGTGGTGTCAGGTGTCTCCTCTATTTTCTACCTTATTTTTGAGGCAAAATCTCTCACCGAATCTGAAGCTCATCAAGACTAGCTTACCTTCAAACTCCAGGTCCTAGGTGGGCACTAACCCCTAAATATTTCTCAGGAATTCTTTCAATATGATCAGGAATAGCACAAAAAAAATCCAAAGTGAAGCAATGTCTTGCTGACAATTAGGCTTTAAAGCTTTAAAGGCTCGTTACACAGAAATATACCTTAATCCAGCTCAGGATGCTGCCTGTCCTTGGCTTGAGTGACATGTTCAACCCGCCCAATTCTGTGCAACTGTTTCTATACTTTTTCCTGTGGGAACAATACACTCTCTTTCTTCCAAGCCAGCTAGAACCTGATTATATTCATCTTTATTCTCTAAGTACACAAACTTTCACAATAGGAAAACAATCTAACCATCAACTCATACATTGGATAAACACCATCCTTTGCATTTCTTTTGATACTGATGATTGACCTCACAACTTCATGAATTGTTGGCAAGCACTGTACCACTGAGCTGCACCTCCTGCCCAACAAATACATTGAAATAGAACACAATAAAGGGTGATACAGAAGGTATTATGACACTTCTCATTTTTGAAAATAAGATTTTCTCACCATTTTCTGTTTCTGCCCATGCTATTGTCTCCACATAGAATACTTTTATTTCTTCCTTCCTTTCTTTTTAATTAATTTATTTTTTACATTCCAATCCAAGTTTCCCCCTCCCTCCTCTTCTCCTGCTCCTTCCACTCCCTGCACCCTCCCCCCATCTGCTACATGGAGAGGGTAAGGCCTCCCCTAGGAAATCTACTAAGTCTGTCCCATCATCTCATTGAGGATGGACCAAGGCATCGCCTCACCCCCACACCCCTGTGTCTAGGCTGGGCAAGGTATCTCTCATATAGAATGGGCCCCACTAAGTCACTTTGTGTGATAGTGTTAGATCTTGGACCCACTGCCAGGTGGCCTCATATATTGTCCCAGCCACACCATTGTTACCTGTATTCAGAGAGTGATCATATGAACAAAGGAGTCAAGAATGTGATGGGGAAACCCACAGAATCAGCTGACATGAGCTAGTTAGAGATCACTGACTCAGGTCTGACAACTGGAGAACCTGTATAAGACTGGGCTAGAATACTTTCCAATTTCATCATCAAATTCTAGATATGATTTATCCTCACATGCCCATTCTCAGGCTACTTTCTGAAACTTTCCTAGCATCCCTCACCCCATCTAATGTCATTTCTGTATTATTTTATTTCCCCATGGCTCTTTATTTTAATGTTTTATGGGACCTACCTATTTTTCTCTGTACAACATTTATTTGAACACATGTGTTAAATAAATATCAATGACTTAATTTTATCCTCATTAAATGCTACCAGTTTTAAAAAACTATATAAAATCTTATAGGTTAAAAATACTCTTTCTATATCAAGGTGCTCATTTTAAAGTTTATGTGAGGGCAAAGGGGGTTCTGGACATGAAGCAAGGTCTGAAACTTCCAATCCCATGAAGCTATAATCATTTACTTTGCTTTTCTTACTTTTGTTTTCTTTTTAAACGGATCTCACAATGTAGCAGAGGGTGGCCTAGAATTCACTATGTAGCCTGTGATGGCCTCTGCCTCAGGCTCCTCATTGCTGGGATTATAGACATGTGCCACCATAGGAATCAACTATTCCTACTAATATTTTCTTACAGTATGTTGTTTTGTGCATTGATTGAATTTGCTTGAGATGCTACCCAGAAAATGTGTTTTCTCCGGTAAAAAATTAAAAATATTCTTGAACAGTTAGTTCCTAAATATCACATATTGGCTCATACACCCCTAACACATGTATGTTTGCTTCATTACTATTGTTGATGCACAGTTTGTTTAGCTGCTTCTTAAAATTTCCAAGTTAAATGATTGCTTCAGGGAACTCTGCCATTAAATAGTATAGTATAATTGGATATATACTATTTTATAGATATATACATATGTGTATAGGTATATGTATATTACACTATAGGACATGGTATAGCTCATGAATATTCTACTCAAGATAAGCTTCCCAATGCATTACTTTGTTCTTCCTTAGAAAGAACATTTGGCATGATGGCTTGGAATTTGAGGCACTCGGCAGAAGGTTTGCTCTTACCGCACTGGAACCCCTGAGGAAGGAGAGCAGATTTCGACACACTGGCAGTAGGATCAGCATGCAGTTGAAATTTAGGCAGGCGGCAGGGGCCCTGGCAAGAGCCAGTGCTGACTACAAGAGAGCAGATAGGGAGTAGAGAGACTGGTGAGCAGAACACCCATACTTCTCTTCCCTGAGCCCCATCATGGGCCCTCATACAGCTCCTTTAGGACATCCGGAATGGAATTTCCTTCATAGCAGAGGACCTTTCCTTAGGGTCTACTGATACACTTTATTTTAACCTGAAGCTGTGATTTCACCCCACCTGAATGTTTCAAAGTTTCAAACCTGAAGGGGAGTGGAAATTAATTTCCTTTGAGTTTTGTTTATCCACCTCCCAGACTAAACCTTTCACATTTTAGCATGCATGCATTATCATATATCTATCTTTCCAGCCTTTTCTCCATCAGAGGACACTATCAGGTGTGCTCCTGTGTTTCTCTTGCTCTTCGCTTTATTCCCTTGGTCTCAGCTTGAAACAGGATTTCACTGTCTCCTGTCTAGTCTGGTGTTCAGTAAGCTCTAGGGATCCTATCTCTATTACTCCCTTCCTCTTACAATAGTGGAGTTATAGTTGCGTGTGGCTACACTGGCTTTTTACATTTGGAAGCTGGGGAACTGAACACTTACCCTCCCTCATGCTTGTGTAGGAATAACTCCTATCCTTTGAGTCCCCCTTATGCATCAATTTACTTCCTCCTAAATCTTTAAGCGTGCATACCATTCATATGAGGTCAGTCTAAAAACTAAATCTTTGATTTTAAACAAAGTCCTCTTAGCATTTAGACCTAACTGTACCTTAACTTAGTATGGCGTAACACGGGCAAAATCTGTTTAGCAATATCTGAAGAAGTTACCTATTATACATGGAGAACAGATCAGCGTGGATGCATTAGAGACAATTTTCATAATGTGACATGTTTGATATTACTTATACAAATTATTATAACATTAATATAAGTAATTAATATTTTCAGCATTATATAACCAACATGCTCTGGGAGTGACTGTAGTTCTAATTATTTTCATTTGTGATGAAGAGACCTGACAGTTCAAGAAAATGGATTAGTTAAGGACTCAAAGAAATTCAATGACCTCCTCCGTGCTGGCCTGAAATGATGTAGTACACAAACAAGTTCCCACAAGACTCCTGATGTAGCTTGAGGTTCATTTTCTCAAGATCATTTCACACATCATTATGAGGGCTTCTCCATACAATTAAAAGATGATATGAACCATCTACCTTAGAAAAATACAGAAAACTTCAATTTTCATACCAGCATCACCCATGTATGATGGCTCCCAAGAGGCCTTCCATTCTAGAGATTGCAATTGGGGAGTGGAGCTGGTGATGTCTTGGTTGATCAGAATATTTATTTGCAATCTTAAACAGAATACATACAATCACATCTGCCTAGAAGTCTGAACTGGCCAATATTGCATGCAGTAGAAGTTTACTCACCCCAAGAAGTTTTCGAGTATAATAGTAATTAGGTCCATCATCATAAACCTTGTAATAGTGGATAAAGAGGAAGACGTTCAACCCCAACCACACCAGCTGCACAAACAGAAAAAGTCAGATGAGGTTTATAAATCTAAATAGGTAGATTCCACATGATACTAGAGTCAAGATAAGAACAGGGCTTCCCCCAAGTTCTGATTTTGACAAAGGTGGTTACAAAACTGGGTACAATCAGCTTAGAGGCAGCTCTTTCCAATTCCAGTGACACTCCACTTTTCAGCAACTGACTATCTCCAGTCAGTGTTTTGCATGGTCACCAGACTAAATTAACACTAGCCTGTCTCGGCTCTTTTCTCTCCCCCCCCCCTTTTTTTTTTCATCTTAAGCTCAGATGGTAACTAAGTGAGAACAGATGCAAATAAGGTACTGTTGACTCTCAAACTTTAGGAAACTGAACTCTACTGTCACAGATGCCAGTCACCTATTTGCAGCACATACAGATTACCATTCTATTTGGTAACTTATCCTCAGTTTTTAAAGGAGGGGGATATTAAACATGGGCAAGAGATCATGGAATTTAAAAATAAATGTTCTAGATTATAAATTCGAGTTTTATGCCAACAACAACCTTATTAAGAAGTGATACTGTACTTCCCAGTCTTCTACCTTCAGCTCTATAGTGACTTTTTCAATATTAATTTGTTAGTTATTATTAACACTAGCTAGTAAATACCCATGGATGCCTCAAAACAGTCTATCTTTACAAAGAAGATGCTACAGAAACTTCATTTCTTACCCTGCCATTCTCCTTCATTCTAGACTTCTAAGCCCCTGTCTTTACTTTCATGTATATGCATATATAATTTAAAAGCTTACTTCCTGGGGGAAACTGTAATTAGAATGAAGATATTATTTCAACTTGTTTCTTAGGTGAGTAATCTCTTAAAATGGTAGTACGTACTCAAGACTAGAGTTTCAAATCCTCATGCTTCTATGTTGCATTAGAAAGTTGGTTTGGCATGAACTATGTTTCAATTTAATATTTATTGTTTTAATTTTATTCATGCTACTGACTTATTTACATCTCCAGAGCTAAAAGACTCCATGCACCACATGGTAAAATTTTACAAAACTTACATTCATAAGTGATGTTAATACTATGCTTCATTAGCTGTTTGGCAAGGATATTTAGATACCATATTTCTCTCAATTTGATTCATCCATAATTGGTTTGCTGAGAACACTAACTTAAAAGTATAGAACATAAATCAATGTGTAATTAAAAATTAGCCATAACCATATTTTCAAAATTGTTTCTCAAGATAAATAGGCTTACATATAAATGCATATTACATACATACCTCATATGTGCATAAATATATATAATATTCAGACTGCATATTTATGAGTCTATATAATAATTTCAATTTTTATCTGGATTTGTTATAAAACTCAGAAGTAAGTACAGTTCAGACCTCATAGAAAAAAACTGTTTTAAAAAGAAATTTGAGAACTTTGGTTGTTTTGATTTTATTACTCAAATAAAGGTTCCTTTCCCATCCAAGAAATCTATTAAGAAAAATACTATTCCGAAAACAGCAAAGTTTTAATTGACCATTTTAAGTAGATAATATAAAAAATGGAGAACTTTGCCTCTGAGTAATTAAGAAAAACCATCTCAGAATTAGAGATCTTTACTATGAAATATCTAATATTGTCTCTGCTAAATGTTAGCTAATTTCATAGTCTTGGTAACTTGGAATTTAACTAGGAGAATTGAGAGCTGTTGATGCAAATTTGTAATTGAGAAGTTTAGAATGGGACAATTAACTCAGCCTACTTACAAATAGATAGATGCTTGTTCACACAGTAAGTAAATATCTTAAGCAACCAACAACAAGAAAACCCATTGCTCTATTTTAGCTCCCAAGAGAACTCTAACATGTTAAAGAATTTATAATTTATCTGTTGTTGGTACTTACAATGACAAAGATGGAGAGTCCCTCATTCACAGCCCAGTTCCCCATGGTAGCAAAGGTTGAGTGTGCTCGGTCTGCTTTTCTTCTCTACTGTGCTTCTTCTTTGCATGAGGAAATGAAAACAGCAGCCTTGGGGCAATATGTTTCCTTTTCTATTATCAGAAATTAGCTAATCATTGGTCAACTGAAAGACTGCTTCCATAACAAATTTAAATCTTTAAACCACATAAAAAAACTACAGAAAGAAAAAAAGACCTCGTGATGCAGTCACAAGTAAATACATTGGAAATAAAATCAGTTGCTATACCTCAGAGATTACTTGTCAAGTTTTTAAATTTGTTTTATTATTTATCAGATTATTTGTGAAGTTTATGAATGTATTGTTCACAGTGAAATTTTTTTTTAAACTAACTAGTTATCTACTTGCAATTTTCAGGTTGTCCACCTAACCATGAATACATCATGTGGGTGCTGGGTTAAACATATTAAACACATGTGACATTTTCTGACAGGCTTTTACAACAGGAGTTATCCTTATTGGATAAAGTAAAAAGAGTGACAGATAATGGTTATAGAATGCTAGCTGTGTGCCAATTTTGTGTTCTAAAATGGATAGAGGCATCTATATTGTGTACATACATCTGTGAGTTGAAGCATCCATATAAATACATGTGTATGCATACACAGAAACATACTTGTGCCAACATATACATCAATTAATTTGATTCTCACAACTCAATACCTATAAAGTAGTTTCTATTTTATGATTACATTTACAGATGAGGAAACTACGACCCAGAGAAGTAAATTAACCTAGACCCAGTTACAGTGCCAAGGAATAATGCAGGCAGTCATTTGAAGTCCAAACAGCTGACATCACTTGTAAGTAAGATATGAGAAAATAAGCTTAAATTTCTCAGCTGGCAGAGAGACTATAAGTTAAGTTTGTTAACATAGATCAAATGTATGCAGTATGGTGTGATATGGTATGCTAGTGTGTGGGAGATGCTAAAGCTAGATGTAACACAGCTACCTCCTGGTTACTATGCTGTCTTCAAGACATGAAACAGGTTAGGATGGTGAACCGACTATGTGATGGAAGTTGACTGACTGTACAAGGGTGGCTGTACAGCAGTTACAGCTAATAGAGAAGTTCAAGAAGCAAACTGGTAGAGGACAAAAGAACCCAGGTACAATCTCTCTCTGTTGCTGTCTACAAAACACAAGGACAACCTCTGGGATGTGGCACATAGTAATAGTAGCACATTTCTTTCACTGCATGATATTCAAAGAAAGGTATTTTGACAATCTCCATGGATATTAGCCCATATATAACTCACATACAAGCAAACCGACCTCCTAGGTTCATTCTCAAAATAGATAAATTTAAAGAATGGTTAGAAAATCAGAACATTGTCAAGCTAGGTGCTTCTTTTGTTTCCTGATCTGTTTGTCTACCCTCGCCATGGACTGCTGTACTTCTTAGAGAACTACATTTTTTCAGCCACATTTGATTGATGGTTTCTGGTTAGTTTAGCTAAACTGGAGTAGAGGAGACGCCACAACGTTTATCACAGCAGAATTTTGCTTCAGCAGGCTTTCACCAGGTGGGTGATTTGGTACTGGGCCTCCAGCTTCCCCCCAGTCAGCCCTTCCTTCAGTGACCTGAACACCTGCTACTTAGTAGCATTATAGGGCTCCATGTTGCCAGCTGGCCCCAGCTGCTGTGCGTGGGTGGGAGATTAGACAACCTCCCAGTTCCTCTCTAACTGAGAGGTAACCACTTCCTGGAGTTGTTCTTTTTAAATGCTGCTTCTTGGGCCCTATTGGGATTCTCCACTTTTCCATCACCCATGTAACACTTTCCTGGGGTGAAAGTCCCTCTGTTGAAATGTGATTGGGTTCTGTTATTTAACTGGATTTTGAAACAAAGTAATTCAGATGAGTACTTTTTTTTTTCAAGTAACTAAAGAAGTGAGTCATATCTGCCTAAAGAACAATAAAACACCTTAAATGAATTCTCTTTGTCTTCTTGACTTTGGGAGTCCTTTGTAAGGATGACTCTCAGTACTTCAAGCTTTTCAAAATTCAACAGAGGCTCCTCTTCTGTAACTTTCCCCTTTTCTCTTTCCCTATCTAATGGGTCATCTTCCCTGTTCCAAGTCTTCATATGTTCCCCTCCGTTTTTCATGTGCTTTCTGAAGCCAGTGTTCTACTGCAGAAGAAATGAGAGTACCATGAACTTCCACATACTAAGAGACATATTTTAATATTTTCTGTTTCTCATAAACATGCTTCTTGGACATTTCCCCCTTCCTTTCCCTTCCCTCTAAAAGTTCAGAAGAAAATTCAGAGGAGGAAGTGTTTTGCCTTGGATAAGCAACCATTCCCTTCTGTTGATCACCCCACCACCACCGCGCAAGAAAGTCGTAACCACAACCTGAGTAGCATTTTCATGAGACTTAAGAGCCTTAATCAGTTTCGCAGCGGGGAAGATCGCTTTCAACGAAAAGTAAAATCTTTCTTCCATGGAAACCAACTTCCCTTTTGAGAAGACTTTAAGAAAGCTGCAGCCTGTGCTTGAACACACAGGTAAGCGGAAAGGGTGGTAAAGGAGCAACAGGATTAGCTGTGTAGCACTGATTCCAAGAGGCAAGGGGAAAACATAAACCTCTGTATTAGCTAAGGGCTCATCTTGCCTCAATCCCTTCAACTTCCACTCTCTCTTGAACTGTGGGCATTCAGCAGTTAGACTGTGGAAAACTTAAGCGAGAACTCACAAGCCCTTGACACAGAGGAGAGAGGCAGCCCCAAGTTTCATAATATTCCCTGCTTTCACTTACTGAATGTGCTTCTGTCTTTCTGTCTTGATAGCTCAATTTGCAAATTAGATTTCCTACAATTTCAAGAAGGAAAATTGCTGTAGAAAGGGAGATCTGTAACTACATCAAAAGTCCTGGTGAATTTTGTTTCTAGTGCTGATGAAAGTGTGTTTTCCTTCCTTCTTAGCTAGCTTGTGTTTGTTAGACTCCCCATATTGTCATGTTTGGCAAAAATCTGCAACTCGCAGTGATGTGGTCCTTGCCTAAGCTTCATTACTGAGAAGTTCCCTCGAGCACAGTGATTTCCTAGATGTGGGTCCTTGATATAAGCAAGACCAATCAGTGCTTTTAATCCTCTGGAGGAACAAAATTAAAATGTTTTTTCACTCCCTCTTTGTCAATGATGTGTGCCTTGTGTGACCAGTCTGTCTCTACTATCATGTGCAAAAAAGTCTGGATAAGAATTATACTAGGACATGGAGGGATAGAACTGGAACTGACCAGGAAGACTCCTCCCTGAGGGTTAGCTCTCACAGTATCAGAAGGTGTTATGAAACTACCAAGGGAGGAAAGCTGTCACAAGTCCTACCCAGATGTAAAGCCTGCAAACCACAAAAATGACCAGCCAGGGAAGATATCCTCAATGGTACAATTGTAACACTTTTACCTTTAGGGTAGCCAACAGGACTATAAGAGGTTTTGTGCTTGACAATGGACCTAGCCAACTACTAGTGACCGTGGCACTCACAGACCCTAGAGGAGAACCCAGTACTGCCATTTTCCTGACCCAATACACTTTATAACTGAATTCTAATCCTTTATCCTTATACCCACACCAAAGAAGCTTATCTCTTCCCTCACCAATGAAGCTTCTTTTTGCAGCAACAGCTACTACAGAGATCCACAACTGCTCAAAGCTTAGAGAGTTAGTGACTGGGGTGTTGTGATAAACACTGTGACCAAAAAGCAACTCAGGTTTATTACATCTTACAATTCCCAGGTCACACACAATCCATCATGAAGGAAGTCAGTGCTGAAATTTAAGGCAGGAAATGAAACCGGCCACAGAGGAGTGCTGCTTACTGCCTCGCTCCCCATTGCTTACTCAACCTGCTTTCTTATAAATCCAAGATCACCTATGCAAGGATGTCACCACTCAGAGTGGTCTGAGTCCTCGTTCTTCAGCCAGTAATCAAAAAATGTCTCACAGACAAGTCACAGGACAATCTGATGAAGGCAATTCCTCAACTGAGGTGCCTTCTTCCAGATGACTCTAGTTCCCTACTGAGTTGACAAAACCTCACCATCAAAGGTGACCTGTCCCAATTATTGTATCTACCATGCAAGCCCTACACAAAGCTCAGAGATCATAGAGGAAGAAGGGGCATAAAGATTTCAAGAAACAAGACTGGGGTGCCTGCTGCTGCTAGACAGTGTCTTCTAGCCTTGACAAGGATGCTACACCCATAAAATCTCAACAATATGGTTGCCTAAATAACACTTGCATAAAGATAACAGCAGTGTACCATTGTTAATGGGGGGGGGGTACCACAAGGCCCTGCCCCTAGATAAAGAGCTACAAAGGGAAGGGGAAAAATCACTTTTTTCCCTGGGGAAAAGCACCTTGATAGGTTATCCAATCTCAAGCTGTCAACCTTAAATACATATTATACAGGTGAGCAACACTAAATGGTCTCAGTCCATTTTATATAAGTATTTAAGAGGAGAGCTTGGTAGGAGTTGAGGAAAAGAGGTGGAAATGATGTAAATTCAGTATTCATGTGAAATTCTCAAAAGAACTTAAAATTTTAAATTAAAAAAAAACAAAGATGGCATATACAGGAAAATACACCAACGAAAATAAAATCTGAATTAGTAATGAAGAAGGGATGAGGTGATTTGAAGAGACCATGTATGGATTCTTGGATCTTATCTACCCAGACATTTAGGCATCCCAGTTATTCTGAGAGAGTGGGCTTCCTACGAAGCAGTCTCTAAGGTAGAGATTAGTGTGCAACATTCTTAGGGAGATTTCTTGCAGGCAAATATCTAAGGAAGGAAAGAAAAGATAAGAAAGCAAGAGTGTGCCATGGAAGAAAATGAATTATCATGCAGCACCACCAAGACCTCAGCAATCTATCTTGTGGGGAGATCTGAAACTGGCATGACTCTGAGTAACCTTGGGAAAGATGACTCTGGATTTCAGTTGTTCGGTTTGAGGCAAGGTCGGTTAACTGTAGTCAAGCAAGCCTGAAACTCTCGGTGCCTTCCTTGTTTCAGAGTGCTGAGATACCCAACATGGGGTACCACACCTGGACAAGATGGTTTTATCTAAAAC